CACGTGCAGAGAGGCTTCCTCCCGATCGTAAAAGGCTGGATGCACCACCATGCCCGATGTGCGCAATACGTTTTCGTAGCCCAAGGCTTTCGCTTGCTCCTCCAAAGCTGTGCTCCCAACCACCATCGTGTGAATACTTGCAGCATCGTCTAACGGATCAATCCACGGGTGTGCATCAGAACTTTCCAAGTCCGTGACTACAGTCACCAGCGGACTACCAGGGCAAGTCTTCAGCAACGAGTCTCGTATTAATGCATTCAAGAAAGGCACGAACGATACAACAAGACTGGGCTCACGGTCAGTCCATAAGTCAGCAAAGCGCCTTGCAATACAATCTCTATTGCCTTCAATCGAACGCTTTGCTACAATACCACCCCAACCTGCGAGTATGTAGCACCCCCTTTTCATGAGCTCGTTGTACATGTCATCACCACTGCAACATCGCTTCGCGCAGCGTCCGTGAATAGCGTCTTCCGCAACCTCGCCAATATCAATGAGTTCGATGTTGGTCGACCACGCAACCTGTCTCTGTATGAGGCAGTCGCGGATTGCTACAGCTGCTGCTTTGTGCCCACCCCCACCTCGACCAATCAGAAACACAACATCATCGGGGTGTCTCTGCCGATGAGCTTCGTGTATTCTGGCCTCTGGGTTTCTCAGTGTCTCCGCCAGCGAAGCTCGACAGCGTTGCATCGAACGTGCAGCGCCATTGGCTGTCTTGATCCAGATAGTCGCCAAGTGACACGCCTCGTGCTCCACAGGGACCCTCGAGGCGTCTCTGTGAATAGCGCCAGAACCGGTGCCAGCTGCTGTGGCCGGGTCACTGGCCGACTGCCGTGGCCGTGAGCACGAGGGCCCGGGCCCCCGATCTGGTCGAACCCCTGGGGGCCATGGCCAGACCTCGCAGCCACGCCGTGCCTCGCGGCGCTTTCGTGGGGGGTGGGTGCCTGAATCGAAATCAACTTGTCTTGCGCCTTTTTATCTTCTTCGGAAGATATCTGTATAACAGATATGCCGAAACGTGCACACGTATCAGACACTTCTGCTCCAGACGGCGATGGCAAGGCATGTATGTTTCTATGGCTAAAGTGAGCTGCCTGTCGCCGCTGGCCCCTTTCTGGTGCTTGGCCTTTGTCATCGCCGATTTCCTCCGCCTGGCCCTGTCCCCGAGCTCCCAAGAAACCTTGGCGATGGTGCTCGCTCCCGCCGCCGCCGCCGACTTGGAAGTCTTGGATGGATGAACAGGAACGATGGGGGGGGACCTGCTCAGGGGGTGAAGCCGGTGCAGGGGTGATTGTCAACGATAGGGGGGACTCAGAATCTGCGATACCTTGCCGATAGATCGGCGCTAGCCCCCGATAACAAAATCGCACGTTCTTCGGCGGGGTGGGCCATCGGGCCCCTCGGTATGGGCGATGAGTGGGCGATTTGGGGTCGATGCGTCGCCCCCTGAACCGACCCCCCCAAACGTCGCCCCTGAAGGGAGGGCGGGCGAGGCCGTGCGCGCATGCCCTGGGGTCAATTTGTTCATCCTGGGCCGTTTCTTGATGGCCCTGGTGCCCGAAACCACCAAATCCAGGACTACGTGTAATGAACCGTCGCGATATTTTTGGGACGCTGGATGCCTGAACGGCTTGCCAAATCTCTCTCGGGTGTTCGTTCCGACCGGGGTTCCGAAGGAAATTCAACCGCGACAACGAAGGTCCCCAGGATGCCCCAAGCTGGCGAAAAAGGGCAACCTCAAATCTCAATCCTGAATCCTCGGCCGAAGAGCGAGGATCGGTTCCGCGTACGGGTTGCCTTTGCCATGGTTGGCTTTCGGTGCGCTGCGTTTTGGGAACGTGCCCCCTCCCCCCCCCACGAGGAGTAACCCTTGCTGGCGCCTTCGGGGGTCCTGCAGGGGCGCCCCTCGACGTCCCCGTCGCCCCCACACCAGAGGTCCCACGAACGACGAACATACCCGTATCCAGGCCCTCGCGGTCTGGATGTCGAGGCGCGGTCCTATGGATATACGGTCCCATGGGCACGTTCCGCGCGGGTCATCCGCGCAAGACCGCCCTGCAGTCATGTGGTCGCAGCCGGGGAATTCGGACCTCAAGGCCGCGGGTATCCTCCCACCCTGACCTTCGACGCCTTGCTTTGACCACGACATGGACTCCCGGAACTTGAACCCTTTTCCCTGTGACTGGCTTCCCATCCTGCGCCGTGACGGTCCTGGGGCCGGGTAACGGGCTCCTGGAGGCTGAACGTTGACCCCGCCGGCCCGTCGTGAACACCTATACGACCACCCTTCGGATGATAAGGAAGTTGTGTGGGAGAAACCACGTGAAAACTGCGGTAGTTGTGGTGGTGACAATGTTGGTGATGCGCTCGCCAGCTGGTGACGATGCATGATGACGATACTGGTCACGACACGTGATGGCGATTGTGATGGTGACGATGCACGCCGACGATGCTGGTGATGTGCGGGGCATCGAAAACGGGCATCGCGTTGCAGCAGCAGCAGCAGCAGCAACAGCAGCAGCAGCAGCAGCAACAGCAGCAGCAGCAGCAGCAGCAGCAGCAGCAGCAGTGCATCATGCAACCTCGGCCGGCAGAGCCTGGCCAATTGGCGGCAATACAGCAAACGCCAAAGGCACGACACGATGTCGATGGCGCACTCACGGCAATGATTGCGCCATCAACGCCGTCGCAGCAAATCAATGCCACCTCCACTGCTGGAGGTGGCATGAAATTGCCCGCGACCCGTGTGGCGGGCCACGTGGCCGAATGCATTTTCGGGCAGCGGCGAGCCAGCTGAGAAGACCAGAGCGGGCCCTGGTTGCGCGTCAAAGTGACCTCGCAGCCGGCCCACTCAGAAGACCAGAACTCGCCCTTTCGGCAGCGAGCACGGTGCAGTACAGCACACTCGGCCACAAGTGTGGGCACCCCGCGGACACTGGCAGAGCCTGGTGCGGCCAGCAAGAGCCCCGTGACAGATACACACAGTGCACATCATTGTTGCCCAAGTGAATTGTGGCGTCAGTGCCCTCGGGGCCATGCGTCGCGACAGCCCACTGCCAACGCGCCAGCGGCGGGCGGATCGAGCCAGGGTGGCGCGGCGCCAGAGGCGCCACCAGGGGTGCCCAGTGCCATTCCCAGAAATCCGTGCGGAGCTCCGACTGTTCATGCTCATGTCATTTTTGGATCGTGATGCGAACGGCCAACCCCAAAGCGACGCAAATGACCACCAATTCGTCATACAACGTACTATCTGGTGGCCAGCTTCTGGACCCGTCGAATGTACATCGACTCGGTGCGCGCGGGGCTCCGGACATTCAGGCCAGCGAATGCCTGATAGATCCTGGCCTTCATGTTGGCCCGGAAGAACACAGAGGCGTCGCCGCCGTAAAATCGCCTCACGGAACAACCATCGGGACAAATCGATCGATCGATCTCACAGGACAACCATCGAGACGGGGCACCATCGAGACACCCTGGGGACACCATCGGGACACCATCGGAACACCATCGAGACACCATCGGGACACCATCGGGACATCATTGGGACACCATCTGACACCATCGAGACACCATCGGGACATGGTCTGGACACAATCGGGACACCACAGGGACTCCCACTGGAACACCTGTGGGCGACCGCTGGCCAACCGGGGGGAGGGCACAACATTATTTGGCCGGGCTTCGCCCTGGCAGCGGACGCCATCAGGACACCACCAGGACATCCCTGAGCCACCGCGAGCCAAGCGGGGGGAGGACACAGCATTATTTGGCCCAGTTTCGCCCTAGCAACAGCGGGTTCACTCCCCCGGCCCGCGCGCGCAGCTTCGCCTCGCCCGCACGCGCGACACGAACACGAAACCGAAACCGACTTCCCGGTGGGGGGTCGCCGTTTCACTTGGATCTCACTCCCCGCCCTGAGATTGTTAGTCGCGTGAAGAGGCCTGGGCGCGAAAGCCACCATGGCGAAGGGGGACCCCTGCGTACAGGCAGGGCGAAGGAACGAGAAGGGGGTCCCGAAACGGTGCGGTGACACACCGTGTGTTGACCTCGGAACCCCCCAAAGACCTCACCGCACGGTCAGTCACCGCACGGTTTTGGGACCCTGGAGGCCCTAGCCGCCCGAGACGTCCTAGCCGCCCGAGACGTCCTTGGGGAGAGCGACCCACGTCCCAAAACAGTGCGGACACCCCGTACCCCCGCTGTCTCACCACACGGTGTGGTATTTGGGGCACCCAAGATACCCGAGACCTGGAAGCCAACACATTCCGAGGGAGGGCGCATGCCGGGAGGGAAACGTCTCGGGCGCGGCGTTGGCTAGCCTCTGGCACGCGCAATAATTTCTGACCTACCACCCTCCGCGAAACCAAACGCACATTTTTCAACGACGTGGCGGCGCCCATGGCTCCCAAATTTTAACGTCCGCGCCAAAACTGGCGACTTATGTTTGTCTTCAGACCACTCTTACCGCCCTCTGGACTTTTCCTTGCGGGCCGCGAATCAAAAAAAAAAATGTCTTCAGACCCCGTGGGCCGCGCGCGTCGCAGAAAACTGAACTTGAGGGGGCGACGGGGCTTGGAAAAGACTTGCGTTTGACTTTGAAGAGGGTTGTAGGGTGGGGCAGGCAGGTAAAAGAACCGTTGTTGTCATCCGTAGCTGGTTACGGCAAGTTCGTGTCGTCCCGACTTCGGCGCTGGCGCTCCTGACACTGCGGGGATCGTTCAATCTTAGACAATCCAATTTTTCCGAGACGTCAGATCGTTCAACATCGGCCGTTTCTGGGTCAGATCGTTCAACATCAGATCGTTCAACACCAGACCACAACTCGCCCAGCGGATGAGCGGCTGGGCCGTTGAACGTTGAACGCTGGCGGGGATGTTCAACGCTGAACGCCGGCGGCGTGCCAGCGCTGGTCGACACGACGCGAACCTACCGTAGGCTCAGGAGTGGCACGCGTGAGGCCGCGCGCGCCGCCGCCACCCACCCCAACGGGGGGCGTCCTTCGCTCCCGGTCGCGTCCTCCGCGGTCCGCCTGCTGGCCCCCGTCGTCCCTCCTGCAGGGAGGGCCACATCCCTCCCTGCTTCTCCCTCTGTTGCTGCTGCCCCTCTTCCTCGACAACGGGGGATTGTGGCGGACCTCGCCTTTCGGATGGTGTTTTCGTATGGCTTGTCTGAGGTCGTCGCATCATTCCTCCTCTTCCTCCTCCTTTTCCTCCTCGTCATCCTCTTTCTCCTTCTTTTCTCTCCTCCTCTCCCTCCTCCTCCTCCTCATCCTCGCACAGCTCCTCGTCGTCCTCCTCCCCCTCCCAGAACGAGCACTGGCTTCTTGTGTTGCACCCCCAAAAAAATGGCGTCGCCCCCCCAACCACCGCCCATTTTTCCCAAAAATCCCGTGGTGTTGGGTCCTCGTTTTGAAAAGACAGCGCCCCGCGTCTCCTTCCTTCCTTCCTTCCTTCCTTCCTTCCTTCCTTCCTTCCTTCCTTCCTTCCTTCCTTCTTCCTCCTCTCTCCTCCCTCATCCCCCTCCCTCTCCTGGCCTTTGCTCTCGGCACACCTCTCACACGTTTCGTAGCCCCATGGGGAGCTCCACCGAAGGCCCCAGTGGGGGTGCCCGCATGCGGTTCCCCGACCCAGGGCAGCGCTTCGTAGCCCCATAGGGACCTCCACCGAAGGCCCCAGTGGGGGTGCCCGCATGCGGTTCCCCCACCCAGGGCAGCGCTTCGTAGCCCCGTAGGGGGCTCCACCGTAGGCCCCAGTGGGGGTGCCGGCATGCGGTTCCCCCACCCAGGGCAGCGCTTCGTAGCCCCATAGGGAGCTCCACCGAAGGCCCCAGTAGGGGTGCCCCCATGCAGTTCCCCCAACCCTGGAACGTCTCGTGGCCCCATAGGGAGCTCCACCGAAGGCCCCAGTGGGGGTGCCCGCATTCGGTCACCCCACTCAGGGCTGCGTTTCGTAGCCCCATAGGGAGCCCCACCGTAGGCCACAGTGGAGGTGTTCGCATGTTGTTCCCTCACCCAAGGCAGCGTTTCGTAGCCCCATAGGGAGCTCCACCGAAGGCCCCAGTGGGGGTGCCCGCATGCGATTCCCCCACCCAGGGCAGCGCTTCGTGCCCCCATAGGGCGCTGCACCGAAGGCCCCACTGGGGTTGCCAGCATGCGGTTCCCCCACCCAGGGCACCGCTTCGTAGCCCCATAGGGAGCCCCACCGAAGGCCCCAGTGGGGGTGCCCGCATGCGGTTCCCCCACCCAGGGCAGCGTTTCGTGGCCCCATATGGAGCTCCACCGAAGGCCCCAGTGGGGGTGCCCGCATGCGGTTCCCCCACCCAGGGCAGCGCTCCGTAGCCCCATAAGGAGCCCCACTGAAGGCCCCAGCGGGGATGTTCGCATGCGTTTCCCCTACCCAGAGGCAGCGCCACCGAAAACGATATTCATAATTGCGGTATTCACAACTGCCTATGGTTGGGTCCTTCGCCATGCTAATTGCATGTTTGGGGGGCACCGAAACAAAAAAAGGAGCAGGAGGAGGAGGAGGAAGAAAGGAGGAGGAGAAGTAGGCAGAGGAGGCACGGTAGGACGAGGGGTTGGAGGAGGAGAAGGAGAAAGAGGGGGCGACCCCCCCACCCCAAAAAATAGCCTGGCGAAGGACCCAAACCATATACAGTTGTGAATACCGCAAATATGAATTTCGTTCTCGGTGGCGCTACTTCTGGGTGGGGGAACCGCATGCGAACACCCCCAATGGGGCCTTCGGTGGAGCTCGTTCCAGGGAATTCCAATTGTGATGGTTTCCCATCGAATCCCTCTGCGGCGCGTTCCAAAGGATTTCCAGTGTGAGGATTTCCCGTAGAATACCGTCGTGGCGCTTTCCACAGAATACCTTCTTGCGAGTCCTTCCAACAAAATCTCTGTGTGGTGCTTTCCAACGGAGTCCTGCCGTGAGGCTTTCCAATCGAATCCTTCTGCGGCGCTATCCAAGAGATTCCTGTTGTGAAGTTGCCGTGGTGGTTTCCGATGGCTTCTCTCTTGTGCGGCTTTCAAATGTGAGACCTCAGTGGTGCTTTCCAACGGATTCCCACTGCGACAGTTTTCGATATAATGCGGTTGTGGTGCTTTCCAGAAGATTCCTGTGATGAGGCTGTCCAACAGAATCTCTGCGTGGTGCCTTCCAATGGATTCCAATTGTGAGGCTTTCCGATCGAATCTCTTCGTTGTGCTTTCCAAAGGATTCCTTTTGTGCGGCTTTCGAATAGATTCTCTTTGTGGTACTTACCAGAGGATTCCTGTTGTGATGGTTTCCCATAGAAGCCCTTGGCGACGCGTTCCAAAGGATTTCCACTGTGAGCATTTCCCTTAGAATCCCGTTGTGGCGCCTTCCAAAGAATACCCTTCGCGAGGCATTTCAATAGAATAACTGCGCGGTGCTTTCCAACGGAGTCCTGTCGTGAGGCTTTCCAATAGAATCCCTGCGCGGCGTTATCCAAAGGATTCATGTTGTGAGGCTTCCTGATTGAATCCCTCTGTGGCACTTTCCTGCGGGTTCCTTTCTTGTGCGGCTTCCCAATAGGAGCCCTCAGTGGTGCTCTCAAGGCCTCCTAGTGTGAGGCTTTCCCATGGAATCCCTCTTTAGTGCTTTCCGATGTTTTTTTTGCGCGGCTTCCAAACCGGAGCCCCTTCGTGGCGCTTTTAAAACCAATCAAATCTCTGTGTGGTGCTTGCCGAAGGATCCCCTTTGTGGTACTTTCCAAAGGGAGCCCGTCGTAGCGTTTTGAAAGGGATTCCTCTTGTGATCTTTACCGATAGAAGCCCGTCGTGCTGCTTTCCAACGGATTTCTTGTGTGAGGCTTTCGGCTGCAATCCCAGTGTGGCGTTTGCCCATGGATTCCTGTTACCACGCGTTCCGATCGAGTCCATTTTGTTGAGCTGTTCAAAGGATCTATATGGCGAGGCCGTCCGATAACACCTGCTCGATTCCTTGCCAAAGGGTCCCACGTGTTTGTTCCCATCGAATCCTTCTGCGGCGCTTTCCAAAGGATTCCAACTATGATCGTTTCTAACAAAATGCGTGTTGCTAGACAGAGCTGTCCAACTCATCCCTGTAGTGAGACCATACAAAAAAATGTTGTATAGCATTTTGCACAGTGTTCCAGCCCAGGGGCTCTCCAATCGAGTATTGTATTCTGTGAGAGGATTCGTGTTGCGAGGCCATAGAAACCATGTGGGGTGATTTCCAAACGATTCGTGTTCTGGGCGCTCCGGTACAACCTCCTTTTGTGCTGTTCATAGGATCTCTGTTGCGAAGCCTTCCGATACAGCCAGTAGCTTCCTTTCCATAGGGTTCCAAGTGCAAAGTTTCCCCACGGAGTCCCTCTGAAGCGTTTTCCAACGTACTCCAAGTATGCTTATGCCTAAAAGAATGTGTTTGTAGCACCTTCTCATGGATCCCCTGTTGTGAAGCCATCCGCTGGAGTCCTTGTGTGGCACTTCGCACAGAATTCCGAATGCGAGGTTTTCCAGCAGGACCCTTTCGTGGCGCTTTCCAAAAAAAATCCTCGGGCTCTCAATATAATCTTTTCGTGGCGCTTCTCAAAAGATTCCTCTTGTAATGCTTCCCGGTAGAAGCCCGCAGCGGTGTTTTCCAAACGCCTCCGATTATCAGGCTTTCCTATCGGATCCCTTCCTCAGGATTCCCAGCGGATTTCTGTTGCGAGGACGTCGAATATCTTTCTATCGTTTTCCAAAAGGGATTCGCCTGTGATGTTTTAGGAAGGGAATGCGTATTAAATGTATGCAAGTGGAGAGAACGAGAGATACTATAAGGCCAATGGTAAAGACAATACTGACAGCTCGTAAAACTCATTTGGCGAACTTCCAGCCCCATGCCGCTTGGCACAGGGCTGGAGTTCCGACGGCCATGGTCGGGGGGACATTTTTTGCGAAGAGGGTGGCGAAGAGTGAAGGAGAAAGAAAGAAAGAAAGAGAGAGAGAGAGAGAGAGAGAGAAAGAGAGAGAGAGAGAGTGAGAGAGAGAGATAGGGCGAGGGATATAGAGAGAGAGAGAGAGAGAAAGAGACAGAGAGAGAGAGATAGAGATAGAAAGAGAGAGAACAAAAGAGAAGGAGAGAGAGAGCGAGAGAGAAAAAAAAACATGGAAACCAAAGAAGAATCCCATCACGATAAAGAGAACGAGCCAATCACGAAACCACGATACAACAAAAACGCTCAACACAGCGAGGTCCGCCACAATCCCCCGGCCTCTCTTCCTGCCTCAGCTGCCTCTCCTTTTCCTGCTCCTCCTCCCCCTCCTCCCGCTGGGGTGCCCATCTCTCTCACTACCTGCTCGGTCGCTGGTGTGTTTTTTTTGTCCTGGCCGGTGTGCCAGGCTGCACGCTGCTGCTCCCCAAGGTGTCCGACTGGGCGGCTCCGCGCCGGGCGTCGTCGATCGTGCCTGCCGCCCGTTTTGCCCGTCAGAAACAGCACGTCGCGCTGATGGGGCCGAGGCGGGTGTTCCGATGACGACCCTGCCAACTCAAACGCACCCGTCGCGTCTGCTCCCCCCTGCGTCTGCTGCTTCTCCCCTTCCTCCTCCTCCTCCTCCTCTTCCTCCTCCTCCTCCTCCTCGTCCTCCTCGTCCACCTCCACCTGCTCCTCCTCCTTCTCTTCCTCCTCCTCCTCCTCCTCGACGCAGCCATGCCGCAACGTGGGTCTGTCGCGCCGCGATCCTCGAAAAAGGTGCCAAACGCCCCACCGCCGGCGCCTGGAAAAGCATGCCGCCGACATCCGACGGGGCAGAGGGGAGGATGGAAAATTAGCCTGGCGAAGGACCCAACCATATGCTGTTGTGAATACCGCAAATATGAATATCGTTTTCGGTGGCGCTACCTCTCTGGGTCGGGGGACCGTATGCGAAAACCCCCACTGGGGCCTTCGGTGGACCTCCCTATGGGGCCACGAAGCGTTGCCCTGGGTGGGGGAGCCGCATGCGGACACCCCCACTGGGGCCTTCGGTGGAGCTCCCAATGGAGCCACGAAACGCTGCCCTGGGTGGGGGAAGCGCATGCGGGCACCCCCACTGGGGCCTTCGATGGAGCTCCCTATAAGGCCACGAAGCGCTGCCCTGGGTAGGGGAACCGCGTGCAGACACCCCCACTGGGGCCTACGGTGGAACTCCCTATGGGGCCACGAAACGCTGCCCTGGGTGGGGGAAACGCATGCGAACACCCCCACTGGGGCCTACGGTGGAGTTCCCTATGGGGCCACGAAGCGCTGCCCTGGGTAGGGGAACCGCATGCGGACCCCCCCACTGGAGCCTACGGTGGAGTTCCTTATGGGGCCACGAAGCGCTACCCTGGGTGCGGGAAGCGCATGCGGACACCCCCGCTGGGGCCTACGGTGGAGCTCCCTATGGGGCCACGAAGCGCTGCCCTGGGTGGGGGAACCGCATGCGGACCTTGCCACTGGAGCCTTCGGTGAACCTGCCTCTGGGGCCACGAACCGCTGCCCTGGGTGGGGGAACCGCATGCGGACACCCCCACTGGGGCCTACGGTGGAGCTCCCTATGGGGCTACGAAACGCTACCCTGTGTGGGGGAACCGCATGCGGACACCCCAAAGAGGGGGAGGGAAGGAAGGAAGGAAGGAGGAACGCGGGGACTGTCTCTTCAAAACGAGGACCCAACACCACAGGATGGTTGGGAAAAAGAAAAGGAAGAGAAGGAGAAGGAAATAGGCGCCGGCCCCACACGTGCTGCGCGAAATGCAGCGCCGACTCACCGGAGGCGAGCGGCCCCCATGCCTACCTGGCCCTTCCAACACCAGGCGACACTGGACACCCCCAACGGGCCACCGTGCGGGGCACGCGGTGCGGGAAGGTCATGCGTGTCCAGGCCCACCCCCGCAGACCCCCTTGCCCAAAGGGGGTCAGGTGTGACCACGTCTTGAGCCGTGCCCGCAGGCCGACCCCCCCAGTCACACCCTTGCCCCGCAACGCGACGGGAGGGCCAATGCGGTGGCTGGGCCTGCCCCCACAAAGGCAGACACCACGCAGGGCGACGCGGACCGAGATCCACGCCGGCCCCGGGGAGTACCTTCGCGGTCCCAGAACGCCAGGTCCCCGAGGGACCTGAGACGGCAGACCCGTACCACAGCGGGACCACCGCTAGTACGGGGGGGCCGCCCCAGGCCCATCAGGGCACCGACGTCCCTGGCCCGCCGCGCCGCCCCTGCGCAGGCGACGTCTTGGCGGATTTCAGATCACCCCAAGAGCCTCGACGTGCCGCCCACACGCCGAGGTACCCTCCTGGGGTTCCTCCTCCTCCTCCTCCTCCTCCTCCCCTCCTCCTCCTCCTCCTCCTCCTCCTCCTCCTCCTCCTCCTCCCTCCTCCTCTTCCTTCTCCTCCTCCTCCCCTCCTCCTCCTCCTCCCTCTCCCCCTCCCCCTCGTCCCTCCTCCCCAAGCGCAGATCCAAGCACTCCGCGGGGACCTCCGACTGTTTTTGTCCCAACCGTCCAGTGTTGTTGGGTCCTCGTCTTGAAAAGTCACCGCCTCGCGTCAGTTACCTTCTTCTCGCTGCCCCGCCTTCCTGCCTCATCCCTCCACATGCCCATCTCGGCACACCCCTGTCGCGTTTCGTGTGCCCATAGGGAGCTCCACCGAAGGCCCCATTTGCCGTTCTCGCATAGCGTCCCCCCGCCCACTTCGGCACACCACTCACGCGGTTCGTGGCCCCATAAGGAGCTCCAGAGAAGGCCCCAATGGCCGTCCTCGCATGCGTCCCCCCCGCATCCTCCGGCACGCTTCGTGTCCCCCCGGGGGGCTCCACCGAAGGCCCCAGTGTCCGTCCTCGCGTGCGTCCCGCCGCCGCTTCGGTACACCTCTTACACGGGCCCCACATGGGGCTCCACCGAAGGCCCTAATGGCATCGCCCGCATGGCGGCCCCGCCCCATTGTGGCATACCCCTCGCGCGCTTCGTGGCCTCATAAGGGGCTCTCCCTCGTTAGCCCCGCCTGCCTTGCGATACTCAAGGGTACGATTGATTGGGTCCTTCGCCAGGATAATGAAGCGCGGAGCAGGAGAGAGCGCAGCCATCCGACAATCGACCCAGCGTCAGAGTGAAGTGCGGAGACATCAGATCAGAGCGTGTGCCTCGATTGTGCAGTGCCCCTTGCGTCGCGGACCTCAGAACATAGATCATGCTTGGAGGCAGTCGGGGGGTCTGAACTCTGGAAGGGCCTCGGGGGAATTCAGCCAAGAAGGGAGACCAAAAGCAAATCTGTCAAAATCTGTCCCTGGACCCCTCCTGGGTCCATTTGGGCCAGGGAACGGCCCCAGGAGACCGAAGAACACGGAGCACCTGGTCGAACCCAGCACCTCGAACCTGCTCCCCCCTTCCTGCCGCCAGTACAAGCGCTGGGCCACCTCAGACCCCCAGCAGGCTCAAAGGCCGTTGCACGTGCATCGGCCTTGGTGTGCAGAGCTCCTCGCCTCGCGGACCTCTGACAGTAGATGTTTAAGCAGTTTCTCCTTCCTTCTTCTTCGAGAGCGGCATGGCGAGGCCGCGCGCCCCCAGCGGGGGGCGTCCTGCGCTCCCGGTCGCGGTCGCGGTCGCGGTCTCCGCGGTCCGCCTGCTGGCCCCCATCGTCCCTCCTGCGGGGTGGCCATCTCTCTCCTTGCTCCTCCCTGTACTGCTGCTGCTCCCGCGACTAGCGATCCGCAAAGTTCAACTCTCACACACAGACACACACACAAACCTATGCTACAACACAAACGCCTGCGCGCCAGTCACTCGCTCTAACGCCACGCGCGCCTCGGCGAGAGCGGGGCCGTGGCCCAGGGCGAAGAGGTCCACGTCGGCGGCGGAAAAGTCGACGAAAGCAAGACCGGCACAACATTGGACCATGAGAAATCGGGGGTCTCTGATCTGATATCCGGCAGCTCTGGAGAATGTGGCGGGCGCCGCGGCCGTCCCGAATCGCTCCAAAACGCCCTGAGAGCCTTCCAGAGTCCGTGGGGAAGTATTAGTCTGGGTCAGCAGAGACCCGGGTCGCCCAAGGCCCTGTCGCGAAGCTCTGCCAGCTGCTCCCAAGCAAGGGTCAGCGGAGTGCGGACAGGGGGAATCGGTACCACGTGGCTCCCAAACCCTGGTCAGCCAGAAAGGATTAGCTGACCCCCGTGAGCGCTGACCCCGGTTACGTGAGCTCTGAGGAACGTTCTGGAACGCTTGGTCTCAGTACTGGGCTCGCCCAACCTCCCTGCTCCTGCTGCTGCTGCAGGCCCCGGGCCTCCACGAAATGCAACCTGTCCACGCCAGGCGGCTCTGCCGCCTGGGCGGAGAAGGGTCGCGATCCTGAGCCGACTGGGGGCAAAGAGGAGAGGAGTACGGGAGGGAGGAACCTCCTCAGTGATTGCCTCTGGACCAGCCTTTCGCCCTGCGGTGTTTTGAAACAGTCCAGGGAGCCCGCGACAGGGCAAAAGCGGCATACCTCATCATCGGCATCATAATCAGCATCATTATCATCATCATTATCATCATCATCATCGTCTCGTCATCATCATCATCATCATCATCATCATCATCATCATCATCATCATCATCATCATCATCATCATCATCATCATCATCATCATCATTCATCATTCATCATCATCATCATTATCATCATCATCATCATCATCATTATCTTCGTCATCCTCATCATCATCACCATCAGCATCACCATCACTATCTCCAGCATCACCATCAGCACCAACATCAGCATCATAAACGCCGTCATCAGCATCGTCATTGTCACCACCATCATCACCATCATCATCATCATTATCATCATCATCATCCGCATCCTCATCATCCTCATCATTATCCTCCTCATCCTCCTCATCATTACCATCACCAGAGCAGCCCCATCAACATCACCATTATCATAATCATCGTCATCATCATCATCATCATTGTTATCATCGTCATGACCGTCATCATCATCATCGTCATCATCAGCATCATCCTCCTCATCATCATTACCATCACCATCGTCATCGTCATCGTCATCAACATCATCATCATCATCATCATCATTATCATCAGCATCATCATCAGCATCATCATCATCATCCTCATCACCGTCGTCGTCGTCGTGGTAATCGTCGTGGTCGTGGTCGTGGTCGTGGTCGTCGTCGTCACCCGCACCATAGCGACACTCCACCAACATTACCATGACCATGACTATGATCATGACCATTCCGCTTTTTATCAACACCATCACGGCATCGCATCATCTCCATGAACGTCACACTTGACAACATCAACATCAACATCAATATCAACACAACTACCATTACCATCAGCACCTCCATCAACACAACCAACATCCTTGCCACCACAACCAACACCAAAACCATCATCATCACCATCATGGTCACGGTCATGATCATAACCATGATCAAGAACAACAAACTCATCACCATCTACATCACCGTCAATGCCACCACCTCCAGCATCACCATCACCATCGTACCATTCACATATCATCATCATCGTCATCATCACCATCAACACCACAAACACAACCACCGTCGTCATCGTCGTCGTGGTCGTCGTTGTCGTCGTCACCAGCACCGTAGAGACCACCATCATTCGCACCACAATTATGACCATCATTACCATCACCCTCATCATCATCATCATCATCATCAACATCATCAACATCATCGTCACCACCACCATCAACACCATCATCATCACCAACAACCTTTGCCGTCACCACCATGACCATTAGTATCACCATCATCATCACCATGGTCATCGACATAATCACGACCATGGTCAAAGCCATCACAACCATGACCATCACCGTCATATTCACCATCACCAGCCTTTCCACCACCATTAATCATCAACATGCCATCAGCACCCTCATGATCATGACCATCACCATCACCACTACCGACGTCGTGGTTGTCTCGTCGTCGGCGTCGTCATCATCGTCACTACCAGCGTAGACGCCACCAATAGTAGCACGGTCCTGATCATGATGATCATGGTCATGGCACTTTCAATCATTATCGTCACATCATTAGCATCATCATCATCACCATCACCATCAACATCACCACCGATATCACCATCACCACCACTATAATCACAAACGGTGTTTAGGCAATCAACAACATAGCCACAAGCATCATCACCGTTGCCACCACTGTCATGGCCACGCTCAAGATCACGACCATGACCAAGATCATCATCATCATCATCATCCCAATCCCCATCTCCGTCAACGTCCGCATCACCAGCATCATCACCACCACCATTCACATATCAAAGGCGTCACCATCGTCACAAAACCATGATCGTCATCAACACCACCATCGTCAACATCGCCATCGTCATCGTCATCATCTTCAGCATCATCATCAGCAGCATCAGCATCAGCATCAGCATCAGCATCAGAATCAGCATCAGCATCAGCATCAACATCATCACCATCATCTTTATCATCATCATCTTTATCATCAACATCAACATCATCGTCATATCTCACGCCTCCCCCTTCTGGCGGCGCACGTCAAGGCCCCGGCCCCAGGCAGGCTCCTCGGCGCGCCCCGGCTGTCTTGCCCGGCGCCTCCCTCGTCGCGACGGCCCCTGTCCTTGTCCTTAGGGAGAGACCTCCTTCTTTCCCTTTCTTCTGAGAGGGTCACGGAGCAGAGGGAAAGGGGGGAGGGGGAGAAGACAAGCTAGGTGCACTCGCGTCATATCTGACGTCCTACCCCTCCCTCCCATCCCTTACCATGGCGCTGATTTTTTCTATCCGCGGACGCGTGTCGTAGCGGACCTGTGGCTCCGCGCGCGCGTGCGTAGTGGGTGGTGGTGCGCGTGCGTGCGTGCGTGCGTGTGTGCGTGGTTGTCGTGGTGGTGGTGGTGGTGGTGGTGGTGGTGGTGGTGGTGGTGGTGGTGGTGGTGGTGGTGGTGGTGGTGTGGTGGTGGTGGTGGTGGTGGTGGTGGTGGTGGTGCGGCGCGGTGGTGGCGGGCGGATGGGCGCGCGAGAAAGAGGCCCGCGCTGGGGCGAGAACGCCATCCTGAACGACGGAGGCCAAACACCGATCCGAAAATGAGGCCCACGCTGCAGCGGGAGCACGATTCGGAACGATTCGGGAGCAGAAATGAGGCCGGCGCCTCAGCGAGAGCAGCATTTTGGAAAAAAACGCAAGCGAAAACCCGTTTCCCGGGAATCCTGTGTGAAAAAAACAGTACGCGGGGGGGGGTCGGATATCTTCGGGACGCCATCAGGGGAAGTGGGAGAGTATTTTCATATTGTGTAATTGTGCAAGGGAAGAGGGGGGGTTAGGAGGAGGACCGATACAAATGCAAGACGCATCAAAGATGTTGCAATAAACCCTCCCTCCAAATTTCCTCTTCGTAGGTCCCAGCTGGAATGTATCTTCATTGCGTTGTTTGCCCCATTAGAAGACAACCGTCTGAGAACCCTCATCAGTGCAGAAACATGACTTGCAAAGCGTGCAACATATTCAAGGGTGGAGAGGTGCCTTTTCAAACGGTGTTTCTGGCTGTAGCGCCGCAAACACATGTTTCAACGTTTCACTGATTCAAAGCTTTGCATGGTCGACGTCCGAGGAACTGCGATCAGGCGCGATTTTCTATTTTCTGGACGCAACAGTCACGGTGACTCGTGGTGTTGAAGTTCCAGCAGTGGTGTTCTGGCACGGTTTAAGACCTTCACCGCGCAACAGTCACGTTGATTCCCTGCGTTGAAGTCCCACACATCATGTGCGCGGCGCCCAGGCGAGATCAGTATTTAAAAAACGGGCCGCCCTCTGTCCTTGAAGCTGCTGCACGCTGTGAAGGCACAAGTGCGCGACACTACAGCGAGAACCACATTTTGGAAAGCACCCGCCGTCCACCCTTGAAACTGTTTCAGACTTCAAGCAACAAGATCAGAGGAAATGGGCTATTTGGTGAGGCGCCGGGCACGCCCTACCGACACGCCTGGGGGGTGCGACAGGGAATTGTGAGTGAAAAAAGAAAAAGGATGGAGGAGGAGGAGGAGGAGGAGGAGGAGGAGGAGGGGGAGACACACAGCGTAGAAGAAGATGATGATGATGAGGAGAAGGAGGAGAAGGAAGATGGGGAGGAGGGGGAGGAGGAGGAGAAAGAAGAGAGCGAGGGCAGACGAGGAAGATAATAATAGCGAGGGTAAAGGAGGGATGCGAAGAAATAGGGGGGAGAAGAGCGAGGGTAGAGAGGAGGGGAGACAGGGGGAAAGGAGGGGGAGGGAGGATGATAATAGGAAAAGCACGAATGAGGAGGAGAGACATAGGGTAGAGGAGTGAGGAGAAGAGATCATAATCACGGGGGAGTTGGAGAAACTATGATAATGAGGCAACAGGAGGCAGGAGAGAGGATCATGACGAAGGTGCGGGAAGGAGGGAGGGAGGGGAGGACATGGGGGGCGGGGGGGGGGGGGTCCTGTGATGGTTTGAGGGAGCCCTTCCTCTCTCCTCCCGCGCTGGCCAGAGGGCCACAGCGGATGCTCAGTTCTCCGACGACTGATATTTTCGAGCCTCCGATCCTTGATCCTGGGTCCTCGACCCCCAGTCATCAACATTTTATCAATCTCAAGCCCCCCCCTCCTTCCTCTTCCTTCTCCTCCTCCTCCTCCTCCTCCACCTTCCCCTCCTTCCTCCTCCACCATCCTTCCCTTCTCGTCACTTCTGCCTCCTTCTCCCCTCCTTTCTACCTCCCTCCCGCTCTCGCCTCGGGCCTGCTCGGAAGGCTTTCGAATGGGGGCCGAGGTGGTGTGCGAAGGTTGCGAGCTTTCCAAGGTGGAGATGGGCAGCCTTCGAGGGCTTTCGAAATTGTTGGACGTGTATGGTCCCTTTTGGGTCTCTGGAGGCCTCCAGAAAAGAGAGTGACGAGGATGGAGGAGGGGGTATGGGGAGCGGGGGGCTGAGAGGGAGGATGGGGCATGGTGGAGGAGAGGGGATGAGGATGTATAGGGGGAGGAAAAAACGAATCAACTGCATATATGAATCCAAACATGCTCACGTCTCCCAACCTTCCACCGACCTCCCGCCATATCTACTTCCGCCGGCTTGGGCCGAAGGCGAAGTGCGCCGAAAGCGACGCCCTCTCTGGAACGCCCCATCCATACATGACGACCTTGCGGCGGAAAGACCTAAATAACTTTGCGCAATTTGCGATGGGGTGCCGCGATGGGGAGCCGACTTCGGGTATCCGGGCCCTCTCACTAGGCGTGATCCTCATACCTAGATGCATCTGTACGTAAGGACGCCCTACGAGCAAGTTGCCGAGGGAATAACAGCAGCAGAAGCTCTGGACTTCCAGCTGATCCGCGTGCAGCTGCCAATATCTTCTGCGGGCGCCTTGCTATTGAAACTAAGGGTACACTGGCCTCTGGCGCCCTGGAACAACACGGCCTTCCAGACAAGACACGACCAGAGCTCCTCGCCCGCTCTTACTTCGGATCCTCCCAGGCACGGAAGCCTCCGGAGGTGCAGGGAAGAAGCCGCCCAGACACCTCGATCACTCTCCCCCTCCTCTGAAGCTGAAGCTTGTGCGGTGGGTCTATCCTCAGACTGGCGCCACCAGTAGGCCTCACCCTGAGTGAGAGGGAGGGAGACAACTCTTAGGTCAAAGAACATAAGCCGCTTCCGTTGTTTGAAAAGCAATTGGTAGACAAATGGGGGCGGCCGCCGCGACACCTCACGAGTAAGCCATGCACTACTTGTCAGAACGCGGAAGATACTGGCCAATGGCGTTATTTACAGCAACATCTCAAATGACACATTCACCGGCGAGAAGAGGCGATGGCAGGAGGCGTGCTTAAAGAACATGGACACGTGCAGGGGGAGGGGGCAGTGGGGGAAACGACGACTCAGCGGAGACGTCTGAGGACCTGCGACAAAGAACTAACTTCTTCTTCTTCTCCTTCCTTCTCCTCTTCCCCTCCCTCCTCCTCCTCCGCCTCCTCGCTTTCCTCCCCGTTCTGAGCGCTTGGGCGAGGTCGGCCTCCCCGACGACGCCGAGCGTGGCGGCCGACGACTGGCGATTGATGGCCGACGGCCTACGACCGACGGACGACGTACCGACGGCGAACGACGGACGACGACGGAGATGACGACGCCGACGCCGCTGCAAACAACGAACGACGGTCGACGATCGACGACCGCCGGCCGACGACCGACGGACGACATGCGACGAAGACCGACGACCAAGAAGACGCCGACGACGACGGCTGGCTTGCCGAATTCCGCCTTGTAGAACTGGTATTACGGTCGGTAATTGGTCTTTGATTCAGGGGGGGCCTGGTTCAGTTGGGGGCAGGAACATCGCGGGTAGATCGGCGATAGGCTCTCGATATCGAATCCGTACGTTCCTGGGCGGGCTGGGCGATTGGACCCCTATCAGCGATGAGTGGGCGATTGGGGGTCCATGCGCCCCCCCCTGAGCCTACTCCCCCTGTCATTGCCCATCTGGTTTCTGCAGCTCGCCAGTGGGCGTTCGGGACGATCCGGGCGAAGCTGGAAAACCGCCGAGAACATACGAACATGTCAACCCCCGAAAGTCCCCTCCCTGAGCTTATCCCCCCCCCCCCCCCGACATTGCCCCTGACAGGATCCCGAGGCGGACCCAGCCGCGCGGAAAAAGGCCAGATACTTCGATGTTCTCTACCGTTGCGTCGAGGGCACGAGCGCCTGGAGCGCCGCCAGGCCGACATCCGACGGCTGACTACCGCATGCCAACGCAGCCAATGTGGCCTTCGGTGGAGCTCCCTATGGGGCCACGAAGCGTGTGACGGGTGTGCCGAACTCTGGAGTGGAACCTCATGCGAACGCAGCCGCTGGGGCCGTTGGTGGAGCTCCCTATGGGGCCACGAAGCGTGTGAGGAGTGTGCCGAAATGGGGGTTGGAACCGCATGCGAACGCAGCCACTTGGGTCTTCGGTGGAGCTCCCTATCCCTACGGGGCCACGAAGCGTGTGAGGAGTGTGTCGAAATGGGAGTGGAACCGCATGCGAACGCAGCCACTGGGGCCTTCAAGGTAGAGCTCCCTATGGGGCCACGAAGTGTGTGAGGGGTGTGCCGAAATCCGAGGTGGAACCGCATGCGAACAAAGCCGCCGTGGCCTTCGGTGGGGCTCCGTATGGGGCCACGAAACCTGTGTGTGCGCGCGCGCCAAAAATGGGGGTAGAACCGCATGCGAACGCAGCCACTGGGGCCTTCGGTGGAGCCCACTATGGGGCAACGAAAGGTGTGAGGGATGTGCCGAAATGGGGGTGGAACCTCATGCGAATGCAGCCGCTGTGGCCTTCGGTGGAGCGCCCTATGGGGCCACGAAGCGTGTGAAGGGTGTGGCGAAATCTGGGGTGGAACCGCATGCGAACGCAGCCAACTGGGCCGTTGGTGGAGCTCCCTATGGGGCCACGGAACGTGTGAGGGGTGTGCCGAAATGGCGGTGGAACCGTATGCGAACGCAGCCACTGAGACCTTCGGTGGAGCCCCCCTATGGGGCCACGAAGCGTTTAAAGGAGGTGCCCAAATCTGGAGTGGAACCTCATGCGAACGCAGCCGCTGGGGCCGTTGGTGGAGCTTCCTATGGGGCCACGGAACGTGTGA